ACCTCCGATCAAGACTGGAAGCGCCTTCAAACGATCTTGACAGCGCCCATCGCGAAAAAGGAGGGATCCTCGGATTCGGTCCACCCTACGAGTTTGCATCGGCGCTTTGCCTTCATTTGCTCCTCCATGGTCTTTCCCCTCCAGTGCCTCGCGGAACTCCTTGACCTTTGCTCGTTGGCCTACTTTTCGAAGGAGGGTATTAAAGCGTTTTCGCGCAGCCTGCTAAGTTCATCCTGGGCTTGCGAAGAAGATTTGATTCGGTTCCTCATTCAAACCGAAGCGATGAATCCTGGCATTGCCTCGATTGTGGCCCTGCCGCGACTTTGCCGAAACATGATTGCTGGAATTCAAACTATGCTACAGGATAAGTTGCTGCTTTACATCCTTGCCATACGAGTCAAAGTCGAGAGTTGTCCAGTGGTAAATCTTAATCGAAGAGATTATTCCTACTGGAAGGTTTTGACAAGTATAACAAACGACGACGAGGACAATTTCGATAACTTTTTGTCCGTGGAGGTGGAAGCGCTTAAATTCGCTCCGCCCCTGGAAAAGCTGGGCACTGAACGTTATTTTTCAGAGGCAAATTTAGAAAGGCTCCCATGCGTTTGGGACGAGGATTTGAAGGACCTTTTAAAGGAAGAGGAGCTCTACAAGAGGACACATCTGATGGAATCCGACAAGGTTATTTGAAGTATTTATGTCTCTTTCAAGACACTATACAAGGTGGATTATCATCAAGCAAGTGGTATTGTGCCCTGTAAAAGTTGCGTATGTCGAAAAGAGAAACATTATAGTGACAAATTCTTGTAGACATTTCCTCTATATTTCTCTTTTTTTCTTGTACCAATCTGTGGCACTCAACGAATAGTAATCATGCTCTTTTTTACAACAACGACAAAACACACACCATAAAAGACGCAAGTGCGCATTAAAGAAGTGTAACACTAAAAAAAAAGTTATGAAGCCTTCGTCAGAAACTGCTGTTTCGATTACCAAGCTTAGCAGTCTTGACGAACGTATCCAGAACCTTCGCCAAAGGCTTTGTGATGGCTTTATGAACCAGGACCCCTTCTTAGAAGTAGCCATCTTTACCGAACTGGAAGGTATCATGGAGAACCTGTTAAAACTGTACTTTGAAGATGAAATCGACTCCGTTTCATCTGAAATCACTGAAGCTCGTCAAGTGATTTCGTGCTATATGCAGGATTTACTTGCCTCTGCATTATATTTAATGGATCCGGAAAGCCTCACAACCTTATGCATAAGCACGAACTCGCTTCCTAAGTGTTCTCTGGCATCTGTTAATGCCTCAACGCTTTACATCAGTCCATTGCAGCGTCAATATTGTGCAAAGGTGTTCTTTTACCTGTGCTGGTGCAAGTGGGTACCTGTGCACGTGATTATCAACGCATTGTATCCACTCTTGGACACCGACACTTCGCTCGAGAAACTCCCCACACACACCTATGAGACCACAAAAGTGGTCTGGAAAAAAGACTCGAAACTGCAAAATCAAATCACGGTCAACTTATTGGCCAAGAATCGCGCCAAGAAGGCGATTGTGATATCAACATTGAATGGGGTGGTGTTTATTCACCCGCGGGGAATCGCCTCCCTGCTTCGAACGCTTCTGCTGAATGATCGCGTGGAGGCTGGGATGGCAGTACAGGCCTCGGGTTGTATTGTTCAGCTCCTTGTGTCACCGGTGGCCTGGATCTACCAGCCCAGCCCGTTACACGGCACTCTACAAAAAACGAGGCTGAGTTACGAGGAGCAGCTGCGGTTGGTGTCGCAGCAAATGCTATCCCTGTTTGAGGCCCATGCCGAATCACCTGCCTTGACGCATTCACTCCCGCATTGGGCTGGTACGCGGGAGAGTCTGCCACTGGAGACAGTTGAGGAACGCCTGCACGGGTGCCTCGCGCGATGGCTGAATGCGTCGCTGGGGTTCACACCCTCGGATCCTCGCGCGGGGGTTCGCGCGGTCCACACCAATCGGTACTTCCTGACTCCCGCCTTTGGGGCGCTCGCGCTGAGGCGTTCCGCCGCGCCGGATGACGCGCTGCGCGCGCTCCAGCGGGTGCTGGTCCTGACGAAAGGCGCCGCGGCCGGGACCTCCATGAGGGTTTTTTTAATGGTCTTCCATGCCGTCGCCGCAGGTTTTCTCAACCTCCTGGCCCTGGAAGATGACGGCGCGCCCGCTGCGATCGCGGACGCCTGCCGGGCGCTTTGGCAGCACCTCCTCCTCCTTCCTGATGCCTTTGAGAAGGTTGCATGGATCCTCGTGCAGAGTGTGGAAGGGGGGGATAAGAAGGGGGGGTTTGTCGTCGCCGATCGCATGGCAGCCGTGCTGCGCTTCGATGCTGACGTAGGCTGCCCCCCGGCGGTGCGCGCGGCGGCCCTGCGGAGGGTCCTGCGGCTGCCGGGGCTGCCGACGGAGTTTAGCCGGCATTTTTTTGCTGCCCTCAGCGCGGCATGCAGGACACGTCTGCAGGGATGGACATCGGGAAGGGCCACCCAGGCCCTAACAGATGATCCCCTTCTTTCACTCTTAGAAGATGCTTGCTTGACCTGGCCGGTGGACCAAATCTTCGGTCTGCAGAGCTCTATTGAGGGCACCCTTTCATTACTCTCCCAAACGCTTCAGCTTCCCGGTGTTACTGCAGAATGGAGTCTCTCTTTGCTAGATAGTTTGCTGAAGGACGACACGGCCTTTGGACGCATCGAAGACATTATTGAAACCCTTAATGGGGATGAAGATCAGGTCCTGGAATGTACACGGATCGACCTTCTTCGAGTGCGTGCGCGTTTACTCACGCTTAAAAAATTTTTGCATGAAATCCAGACGGAGGGGCATCTTTTTTTAGAAAACACACAGCAAGAAATGGATGGGATCCTCCGCATCCAGACCGTTCTCGATGCACTAGATAACCGACTCAAACAATCTTCTTCGCAGGAAAGTCTTCTTCTCAAGGTACTTGAGAATGGGGTACTTGATGCTGGAGCCGCCGCATCTCGGAGCCGCAATTCACTAATGATGCAGTGCAAAACCCTCTGTCTGGATCTATCCGATGCGTTGTTGGCTTCCCAGCCCGCTGTCCTTGTTAGTGTGATCCTTGTGCGGTTGTCAAGTCTGATTGAGGACGCCACGCTCACCGTGAAAAGTGTTGACGATGCTTTCAGAGAGGTCTCCTGTAAACTTGTTCGCCTGCTTTTTAAAATTTTGTTTAGCCACAATGATTCGTGTTTAAGTGTGCACACCGTTCGCTGCCTCAGCTGGATTGGGATGTATCGATTTGACGACTGCCAAAATGCCGTCCTTTGGGGTTGTGTTTGCTCGATCTTACAACAACCCGTGAGGGCGCCGCCCACGGCCGCCCTGTGCGATCTTCTAGGCCTTTCGCCCACACGAAAGGATTGGGGGGAAGGAGGGCGTTTCATCCGGCTTAAACTACGCGTCTTGGAAGTGCTGCTGTGGTGGTGCGATCACGATGAGGACGGGCTGACGTTGACAAACCTCGATCGCCTCTGCGGGAAGACTTTGAAGTGCGGCCTTCTCGCGTTCCTCGCCGATCTCTGCCGGCCACCAGAAGAGGTGGCGGTGCAGGTGGCGGCGCTTCACCTGATCGGATGCTTTGTTGTTTCCCTGCCTTTGCGTGTTTCCTTTCAGCGGGTGCTGCTCCTTGCTGTGGATGTTTTTCACCATACACCTGTTGTGATGGCAAAGGCGGCGTGCGCGTCAATGCTGGGGTACATCGCCTCTACGCTCTTATCGCGACAAGCGTTAACGATACTTCGGGATATGGACCTAAATAAGTTTTTAGACATCGCTCGTGCGATGGAAACGTATCACTCGCCACCTGAATTGTCTATCTCTCCTGACAACTTACTCCATGAAGAGGTTATTCGGAAACATGGGTGGGATATTGTGAGGCTTTTACAAAATAACAATCGACAGATTCTAATATCCGAGCTTTCATAAGAGGCTATAAGGCCTTTGAACGCCTACTCACCATAGTATATAAAAAAAAGAGGGAAAATAATTAACGACCGCTCTTCATAATCCTGAAATGTTTTTTGTCATTAGTGTTAATATGAAATTGCACCGATTAGACTGCAAATCATGCAACACTGCCTTCCTTCCTCCTTTCAGGTAATTTTATAGATAAACAATAATAGTAATAATCATACCAATAACAAGAGTATTAATAAATACAAACCTATTAAGACTTTTCGGCACTGAATTGTTAATAAATTTTATTGCGCGCATCAATATACTGCGTTGGCGAAATCAGAAGGTGGTTCTAAAGCTAACAACCAAAGAGGATGACTGAGAGTGAAACAAGCGATGATCAGAAGCTCCACCCACTTAAGGATGATTGGTTTGTTTACTATATTCCCGCTGTCAAGGATGTTGCGAGCTACGATGATGCTTGCGTAGAACTCGATTATGTTCATTCCATTGAAGAGGTATTTGCCGTGCTGAATACCTTTCCCAATGTTACCATACTGCCCTCGGATGATAGTATAGTATTTTCGAGAAAAAAGATCCCTCCAAACTTTGAAAGCTTCCCTGATGGCCATCGCATTTCTTTTTTCACAAAAACAAAGGCACAAGCTGACGATTGCATATCACGGACAGTTGCAGCCGTTCTGGGTGAAAGCATTTTAAAGTCACTTCCAAACGATGGGCTTATTGTGGACCTTGTCCGTATCTCGCATAAGCCCCATCGCTTATATGAGGAAGCCTCTCGTATAGAAGTGTGGTCGCATCAGTCTTCCCATGAAAAGGAAATGGAAGCATATTTCAAGGATCTTCTCAAACTAATTCCAGGAATCACGATAAAACCGTCAAAAATGATGTAATCGGCAAAGTGGTACCATATAAGGGTTTCTTAAACCAAGTTGCTCTACATTTTCAAATTTAAAGGATCGCTGTTGTTGCGAATTCCTGTTTAAAAGGTGTAAAATTCTTCTATTGGGGTAGATATTCTTATACTGAATAGAAAAAATAACAGCCATAAACATATACGCGGAGGTGGAGTAGAGTGTGGGGGCATTTTACCCTCTGCATATCCATTAGGTGCGAAATATCAGTGATTCTTCCCTTAAGAATAAGCTCACTGGTCTTTATTTGTTTTATCAGTTAACGTACAGAACCAGGACGAACAACATTGACCGACGTTTCACCCTCCCTAATATAAAATAGCTTTGACATTAAATGCTACAGATGCATTCCACATTTTATTAAGTTTCATCACCTAGCGTATCTGGTGAGCTCTCTATCAAAGGATCAAAGACTGCTATATGTAGAAATAATGAAATCTGAATAGAGTCTCTAGAAACTATCGTCAGTTGTAAGTCTATGTTGTAGCTAGTACATTATAATGTTTTTCTTTTTATTATTTATTAGCACTGTGAATAGAAAAGGAAGGGAGGGATCTGTACATATTTTTTGCGTGCCCCTTTCTGGACAAAGCCCCACCACGTAATTTTCTGTGCAGTGGTTGGAAAAAAAGTAGACTATGAAAATATCATTCCTTTGTCTGCAACGTGATTATTTAAAAAATAAAAGGGGTCAAAAGCAGGGAGAATCTAACGAAAGAATTGGATCGTCAGGGTTCGTTTCAGGTGTAAAAGTATCAATCACAATATCGCATAACTGAATAGGAAAACCTAACATGCGTAATACTATCACGCACTAATACTGATAACTTTAGTAATAAAATTTGCCTTCCTTTTGAAAAGCATTTTGTTAGGATATTCATTAGCATTTCATGAATTTCAGTGTCTGTATATATACGTGTGCGTATATATCATGAGCTTTTAGCTTCTTCAATTTCATTTAATACAGGAAAAGGACGGAGGAAACAATTTCGATGTCGCTGCTGAATAGCCCTACAATAAGTCAGTGCTTTTTTATTTTGCATGTGAAAATTACAGCTACGCAAAGGAATCCAAAACCTTTGGAATACCGGTCAAATGAGTATTTCATCAGCAACTTGTTAAAGTCATCGTTGAGAAGACTATCTCGTCTGTCTTTAGATGATTGCAAATATTTTTTACTCTTAAATATTTATTGAAATACGAATTTCTCATTTTTTATTTGAATATTTTGAAAAATAAAATGAGGGTTTAGTTTGTGTTCCGGTATTTTAACGTGTCTGATATTCAATAAACCCTACCGACACTCGAAATTGGCGTCCACTGATTCCATACGTATTCGGTTTCTGCGTTCAGTTATTCCTTTGTTCATGTTGAGCTTATCGATTTCCTTTACAGTCCAACCCAATTTTCCAATTGGAGCTAAGAGTAGTACCAAAGAGACTCATATTTTTCCTTTTGAGCGGAGGTGCGATACGAGGGTTGCGAAGTTCATTTATATAACGCATTCAGGTCGATGGCGAAGCCGCACGAGGGTCCCCAACCCCGTGTCCGACATGTCCTAGGTGAGCCCACTCTGGAGGGGCTGGCCAATTATATCCAACGGCACGATATTCGCAAGATCCTGTGTCTGGTGGGCGCGGGCGCGAGCGTGCAGGCGGGGATCCCGGACTTCCGCTCCCCCAAAACCGGGATCTACGCCAAGCTGGGAAAGTACCGTCTCAATGACCCCACGGAGGCCTTTTCCCTCGCCCTGCTGCGCGAAGACCCCTCCATCTTCTTCTCCATTGTAACAGAAATGGACCTCTGGCCCGGGTCCCACCGGCCCACCGCCGTCCACCACTTCTTGCGCCTGCTCGCGGACGAGGGCCGACTGCTGCGCTGTTGTACGCAGAACATCGACGGCCTGGAGGGGGCCGCGGGGCTGGCGGAGGGGCTGCTGGTCGAGGCCCACGGCACTTTCCACACAGCCACCTGCATCGACTGCCGACAGGAATACGACACTGCGCAGCTCCGCTGCGCGAACGCGGGCGTCCTCATCTGGCGGTGTACGGCCTGCGGAAGCATCGTCAAGCCCGATGTGGTCTTCTTCGGCGAGTCACTCCCCGAGCGCTTCTTTGACGTCTTCTCGAGCGACACCAAGGAAGCGGATCTCGTCATTATCATCGGCACCTCCCTGCAGGTACGGCCCTTTGCCCTGCTTCCGATGGGCGTGCGGAGTTCGGTCCCGCGTGTGATATTTAACCTTGAGCGGGTCGGGGGGCGGATGTTTTATCTCCCCGAGGACGTCATGGACGAGAAGAAGGCATCGGGTCGGGAGGACAGCTCGTCGGCTTCGTCAGCCGCAGCGACGCATGCTGAAGACGATGGGATTGCGATGAATGGAAACGCTGCGGCGACTCTTCACGGAAATTGCGATTTTGACCGCAACGCATTAGAGGAGCCTTTACTTGGTGAGGTTGCCTCGGATTCTAGCTCTAGCAGTAGTGAGGGGTTTATTACTGAACACGAGGAGGCACTCCTTCGACCAGCGGTCTGTCGTGACTTGCTCATCAGGGGGGATTGCCAAGAGTCGATCATGCGTTTTGCGGAGTGTTTGGGGCTTGGGGAGCGTCTTCGCGATGCGCTTCTCGAGCACGACGCGAGATAAGTCATTATGTTCATTCTTTATTCTAGGTTTAATCATTCGCATAAGTAAGACTCTCTTACAAACGCGTGACAAAGGTACGTCTTGATGTGCACAACATTATCTTCACGGTTGATGCTAATAAATTCAGAATTGCACTTTGGTTTTGATGGGCATAAATTGTGTAGGCTTTTACCTGTGTCTCCCTGAGGGGACCACGGCACTCAACATGGACTTCTTTTTTTTTTTGCATTCATACTGCCCCCATGACTCATTTCTCTTAGCTCTACAGTGATAGTTTGCATTCGCAACTGCACGGATGCGTCTTCTAAAGACTTTGTTTCATCCAGATGGAACAACCGAGGTGAAGGTCTCCGTAAACACTTCCGAGGACCTGTGGCATCTGTACAATTTTGTGCTCGTTGGCGACGCGGTACGAACCAAAACAAAGCGAAAAATCACGAAGGAAAGCTCAATGGGGTCCAACACCTCTGAAATAAAAGTACTCACATTGGAAATACGCGTAAACAAGGTAGAGTTCACACCCGAAGAAATTCGTGTGCACGGTACGAATCTAAGCGAGAGTGAACATGTGAAGCTTGGCGCTCATCACACCCTTTCAATCCAGGCTTTGCTTCCGCAGGAGGTTACCATCATCAAAAAGGAGTGGGATACGATCTGGAAAGAGCGACTGAATGATGCCTGCGATCAGGAAGCTAGCGCGGATACGGTAGCGCTTCTCTTGAGCTATGGTGAGGCTCAACTTCTGGTCGTAACTCCTTCCTTTATCCACGTCAAAACCAAAATCAATGTCACTATTTCTAAAAAGCACAAAAATGATGGTACGGCGCGGGATAAATCGGTACAAAAGTTTTTCAGGCAAGTTCTGGACGCGTTGTTGGGAAATGTTGATTTTGAAAAAATAAAGCTGCTGCTTTTCTGCTCACCAGGACATGTTCGAGAGGAGTTTTTGAACTACGTGCGAAATACATGCCAACATTCAGAGCAAGTGAGTATGAAAACTATGTTTCGTAATCTATCCAAAATTGTTCTTATTAAAATTAATTCCTGCACAGTTGGTAGTCTACGCGAAGTTTTTAAAGACCCTACTGTAGTCAAGCAGATGCAGTTAACGCGATGTGTTAAGGACATCGCAACCTGGGATACGTTCCAGGACACCATAAATAAGGATCCGGACCGCTGTGTGTACACTCTTCAACCCGTCTACCACGCCGCGTTGGCTGGCGCGATATCCACTCTTATGATTAGCGACGCCGTGTTCCGTTCGCCCGATCCACTGGTTAGGCGCCTTTTCCTCAGTCTCTACCATTGCGTCCAAACAAGTCGTGCAGCGGAGGTGCGTATCTTTTCTAGTAACCACGTGACCGGAGAGCAGCTTACACACATGGGAAATGTCGCCGCTATTTTATTTTTCGCTTGCCCTGAGCTTGATGACATCAAAGCGGACGAGAATTTCATCCACACTGAAGAAGTAGCTGAGTTCATTCGGAAAAATGCCCCCAATAAAGTGACGGTGTCTTAGAAACGGCAAAAGTACAAACCTTTTTTTCGAATATTTTAAAAGTTGCGTGTTATTACTTTAGGGGAAGAGTATACATTCTTTCTCTTTCCCTTCCCTCCTTCC